GTGTGTGTGTGTATATATATGTATATATATATATATATATATATATATATAGCTCTCAAACTATTGATTACATCAATGAGAAAGGGAGGAGGTTGAGAGTAAGAACTATATAACAACTTTTAAGGTAGGGTGTATAGTTCTATGTAATATCTTATAGTTTTATTTAATTCTATATAATATTTTATAGTTCTATTTAATATCTTTTTGTAAGGGTGGAGGTTGGAAGTTTAATTAGTAGAAATATTAGGGTGGCTTCATTTCAATTCGTTTCTACTTTAAGAAATTTAAGGGTAACTGCCTTCCCACAACTGGCTATAGACAGTGAAAGGCAGTAGAAGCTCAAACATTGTGGATGTCAGCTTCGTACCCTTATTTGATTTTTTTACGATTTTCCATGATGGCTTACTAGATTGACATCGGCATTTGGATTTTGTTTGATAGATGGGATATCCCCAACACATTTGAGTGCTATTACCACAAACATTATCCATTATGACAATAAGTTGACAACCTGGGCCGATAAGGGTAATGCAATATATATATATATATATATATATGTATATATCAATAAATAGATGAATAGCTCAATGACTATGATTTATATATATATATATTCTACTTAACATACACAACAGCAGAAAGGTTTTCCAAATTCAGGAAATATTATAGAAATATTGATTTATTGTATATAATAGTGCACGTATAATTAGGTCTATAAAGAAGTGTGTGTTTTCCTCGAGTGGTAAGTAGTAAAATATACATCAATGTCAGATCTGTGGTAAAATCAAAAACTTCTATTAGGAGTAAAATACTGAAATTATGTATAGTAAACTAAAATCGATAATGTATCCTCCAGTCATAATCATGTGCATACTGTGAATTCTGGTGCCTTCTAAATGTAACACTGAACAAAATATTGACCTATATGTTTGACAGAAACAGTAACTTAATTTTTGGTTGAGAACTTTGAAACAACCAACAAACTGACAATTTTTGATGAATTGTAGCATTGTTTGATCATTTAGTATTGTCATAACTTTATTCTCATCTTCTAAAATTGTCCTGAATAAAAATCAGTTCTAAACTCTGTAAGACCTAATGAGTTTGATTCCTTGTATTTTGAAAACTTATTTTTTTTAGTGGGTTAATTAAATATTTTGTGTGTTGGTTTGAAATAGGCTGTATTGTGCATGTTTGATGACCTTGGAATGATTGCTCGATGGAGAATAAGGAGAGAAACATTGTCGAGGTAAGGAATAAGTATTAAACAACATAAACTATCCACTTCATTTACTAAATTATTTACAACTTACAAAGAAAATAGCATGATACAATTGTAGTTAAATGATGGAAAATAAATGCACTAGATTTATAATGATAAAAAGATAATTCACATATATTAGTAGAGATACCATATATATTAGTAGTTATCTCTACTAATATATATGGTATCTCTACTAATATATTGTATCTCTACTAATATATATGGTATCTCTACTAATATATGGTATCTCTACTAATATATATGGTATCTCTACTAATATATGGTATCTCTACTAATATAT